AAATAATAAGTGAAAGTGATACTGTGATTGCAACTGCTCAGAATACATATATTGCAACAGGCGATACATTGCGCAGACTTTAATGTTTATTAAGGCACATTTTTCGCGCGTATTTGCATATTTCAATATGCACGAAAAATATGGAAAAGTCATATGGAAATATGCACGAGAAATATATACAAATATGCACGAAAAACGGGAAAATATGGAAATATTCAAAAGGCATATGCAAGTATGCAAATATGCACGAACAATAGGCAAATATGCACGAATAACAGGCGAATACGCAAAATATGCACGAACAATAATTAGACAAACATGCACGAAAAACAGATCAAATATTTGCATATCTTTCGTACATATTTACGTATGCTTTTTGATTATTTTACATGCATTTGATTTAAATATGTAATGTACGAGAAGGATTTTGAATATCGAAGTAAAGTATAACTTATTGTTAAGAAGATTACTAAATTCAGCAAGAACGTTTAAAATCCGAATTAGCACTAAAAATCCTTTCGATTACAAGACTGCGAAAGAAGGAAGACAATTCTATCAAGTTACATACAAAAGATGTAATTAATTATATGAATGACATCTTCGAGATATCTAGCACGTATACATAAAATATACAAGGATGAATCGATATAATGAGTCAAGAAAGAGCATAAAGTTCCACTATTTCCCGTTGACTCGTTCTTCTACCTGTTAAATTTTCTGAAAAAAATTACAATTTATCCCATTAATTAAAACATCTTCCTCCCGTGGCGTTCAAAGCTCATGAGTCACGAGCCATTTGCGACACCCGAAATCGCCCAACAATCATCCTCAATTAATCCGCATCTCGACTCATCAACCTATTAACACTCTCACAATACAACGTCCTCCTTATGGCCCCCTCCCCCATTCTCTCCGTCCGACACAACGGCCCCATTAATCACACAAAGAGAATCCTTCGCAGCGCTGCCCCTCCTTCCCTTCGATCCTCGGACACGCTTGATATTTCTCCGTCTCCGGGCGTCCTCCTTATTATTTATCACGCGGCGCTTTCCGCGTGTGACGCCCTCGAAGAAAGGGAATCGGGGCGGCGCGATAAATAAAAATAAAGCGCGGCGACACGCGTCTCCGCGACGCGTTCAACGTCGGGAAAACGAATGGAGAAAAGGAGCGTCTGAGAGGTAAGATGTGAGAGTTGGCGAGAAGGATCGTGGACAGGAAGGAGGGTCGCGAGGAAAGAGAGAGAGAGAGAGAGAGAGAGA